TCTAAGTTTCCTAGTTTTTCTCTAGTTTTTTTTATATTTGTGTTATTTTTTTTTAGTACTGAGACTAAGTTTTAAGTTTTATTAGAATTGTAATTTGAAAACTTTAAATTTCTAGGTTGTTAATTAATGGATGTTAGTGATATTGTTAGCAACATTGATTTTAAGTTCTAAATCTTACTATGATGTCCTTAAAATTTTGGGGCGTCACAGTAGTAGTGAGAAAATAATGGTGGTGCTTATGGAAATAATGATAATGGTGATGAAGGTGGTGGTAGTAATGATGGTGGCATGATGGTGGCATGATGGTGGTAATGGTAGTGGTGGTGGTGGTGGTAGTAAGTTTATAATAGTGTATATCAATACTTATGTTTAATATTTATAAATTCAGGCAGAATTAAGTAAATTTTATATGATTTAAAATTAATTTACCTTTTATCTTACATTTTAAGATACACTTAAATTTTTATGTAATATCAATTGTGATTGTCAAACAAACTTAATTGATTATCATTTAATACATTAAATTTTAAGTGTAGAATTAGGTTATCAAACACCAAGTTATAGTAAACTCTCTTAAATTATGATCTATTTGGGGTTTGTCTCCTTGAATTTTAAACACAACAATTAACCATTTTTGTTAAAATTTTGTTAAAAATTTACAAAAAATCAGATTATATGTAAAGTCATAAAAAAAATAATTCAAATAATCAATTTCTAAATTAGTCCTAAATTTTTAAAAGTGGACCCATCAAAAAGCACGAAAGTTCCTCGTTGTCTCTTTATAGTTGATGATAGAGCCTAAGGCACTACAGGAAATTACACTTTTGGCAAACAAATTTGGTGACTAAAAAAAATTAGTTGCCAAAAGTTGTGGAATTGGCGACCAAAAATTATATTAGTCGACAAAAGAACAAGATTTAGCTATTAATTTTTTTTTAGTCAAGGCATATTGATTATTGGCGACTAAAAATAATTTAGTCGGTAAAAATGCCACAATTGGCGACTAAAAATTTTTTTAGTCACTGTACAGTTAGTTTTGGCTACTAAAAGTATTTAGTCACCAAATGAAAAATATATATATATATATATATTTTTTTTTTAAATCTTTGGTGACCAAAAGGGTCATTTTTTTCATTTGGTCGACAGATAGTTGACCAACGAAAGGACTAAATTGTTGCAATAAAATTTTGGAACGAGGAAGGGCAGTGCTACTTTAGAGAGTAAACACTACAAGAATTTACATTTTTGGCGATCAAATTTGGCGATTAAAACAAATTTAGTTGCCAAAAGTGTAACAATAGGCGACTAAAAATTTTTTTTGTCGGCATTAGTTCATGTTTTGGCGACTTAAATAATTTTAGTCGTCATTTGTTAATATTTCCCGACTAAAATTTCGTCGCCAAATGTGTATAAAAATTTAGTGGGAAATATTTCATATTGGCGCCTAAATTTTTGCCCAAATCTGTTAGTCTTCACACGGTTCTATTCTATCTCTCTCTCTCTCTCTCTCTCTCTCTCACTCATAGAGAATCGATCACCACTGCCCCTCATCTCACCGTCGCAGGCTACCACAGTGTCCGTCAATCTTCCACTGTCAAACATTGCCACCGTAGCTCACTGTTGCCTCGCCTCCCATCGACATTCAAGTTATTCTTTGTTCTTCTCTCTTTCTCTCTCTCCATTCCTCTATTTCCCTATTTCACTCTCTGGGGGGTTTTTTTTCGTTTTTTGATGCTATAGGATTTTCATTTCTGTGAAATGAGTAAATGAGTTTTGATTTTTGTTCTAAATTTAGGGTATTTCAATACCCCCTCTATACTTTTGAAACCCTTGTAATTGTGTGTACACATATAGATATAGATATAAATATATTTATGTATTGTGGGGAATATGTATTGGGATTTTTTTTGTTCACATATGTGTATTGGGAGCTTCAGAAATTGAAGGCTATGGAATAATTAGAAAAATTAAAATTGATTTTTTTTTTTTTTTTTGTGCTTGAATCTTGGATTTGGAGAGTGATTTGTGGAGGAAAAATGACAATATTTTGTTCCTGTAAATTTTTTCCTTTACAAAATTGAGAATCAACCTCCTAAAGTAATAATTTATTTTTAGTGACCAAAAAGCTTTTAGTCGTGTTATAAGAATTTTTGCCTACTAAAGAATTTAGTCGCCAATCAAATAACATAATTTTTGCTTCTCTTTGGTGACCAAATATTTGGTTGGTAAATACTTATTTTTGGTGACTAAAATTAATTAGTTAGCAATATTTAGCTACTAAAAAAAATTTAGTCGCCTTTAGCTGACTTTTACCGACTAAAATTGTTTAGTTGGCAATTGTAAAAATTTAGTTGCCTAGAGTTTAAATGTTTGATTGTAGTCATTGAATCCGTGACCTCTCGTGCTTGGTGAGTTATGGATGTCTGGAGGCAATAGTCAGGTGAAATACAGTTTTTTCCACTTCGATTTTGGGATGTGTTTAGAAGTTCTATTAAATGCCAGTCAAGCTCTGCCTTGTCTATTTATGTGTTTTGCCCTTGTCTATTTTCGAAGCACATTTTTAGAAAATTGACTTTCTTTTATTTTATTATTTTCATTTTTCGGTTATCTATTTATTCTTTTGACTTCAGATATCCCAACAAACAGAGCTATGTTTTTCTAATGATAGGCTTTCTTGTTCTTCCAACGATCTCATTCAAATAAGTAGTTCTTCATATTCTTTTTGGCAAAAATTTACATGCTTATCTTCTTAACTGTTCATGTGTAATGATTAGATTGACCTTGCTTTACATGGTGTTTTGTTCTTGTGCAGTGTGTACAATGTTTATAAGGGTGTTCAGGCAAGGAAATGAAGCATGCTTTTGGCATTTGGGTTCCTTGTGGTGAGATATCTGTCTTAATCCAATCCTTAAAGCTTTATATCTTTTATCAATTTTAAACATTTTGATCTCTATTGCTCTATATCTAATTCATGGAGATTATAGTTGTAAGCTTAACACTTTGGTCCCAAGTCAACCATGTGGGTGTGAACAGGATTTGGCTATGGTTTGCTTTTTTTTCCTTCGTGACATTAGGAACACAGTATAGGAAATTACACTTCTAGCCCACTCGTTTAGACTCATACTACAAATATCCATGTTTTTGTTTCAAACTTTAGTGATGTCAGATTTTGCTTGTAATTTGATTGCGTTGGTGCAGCCCTGTTGGTGCTGCAGCAAATTTCTTTTTGTTTTTGTTTGTTTGTTGCTCTGTTGCCCTGTTTGTTTGGGGATGTTGTGGTCTTGCTCTATTTGTTTGTTGTTTTGTTGCTTGGATTGATTCTATTATACTAAAAATAAGTCAAACAATCATCTATAAATAATTAAAATAAACAAGTCTTTACCATTGAAATATAACACAAATAAAGAATAAAATATTGTTTAATATAAGCCAACAAATGTGAATCGTGTAGTGAAGTCCAACTCGAGTTTACACACAACCAATATAAATTAAATACAACAACACAGCTAACCTAAAGAGGTTGAGTTCAGTTCTTCAAATTTTTTTATTAGTTGTGTTATTGAATTTAATTTATATTGGTTGTGTTTAAACTTGAGTTAGACTACACTCAAGGTTTTGAAAAGCGGTTGTAGTCGCCGTAACAATTGCGGTGACACGGTAGCGGTTGCAGCTGTAAAGGCAGTAGCGTAACGGTTACGGTAACGGGAACCGTGTTTTTTTTTCTGCACAATTTGAAGAAAACTTACTGATATGCATAATTTTTTTTTAGAATCTCATTTATTGGGATTTAAAATAAATTTTGATCAATTTTTGTTAATTTTTAAGTATGATCCAACATATTTTATATTTTCAAATCATTATAAAAGGAGCCTTTTTACATTTTATTTCAATAGTTAATGATTTTAAGAATAATTGATTTAAAATGTCCACAAATTATTTTTTACCAATGCCTGAACTAACTGAATAAAAAAACATTCACAATTATTAAATGAAAGAATTATAAAATAAAAATTGTGCCATAAATTAAAAAAAATTGTAAAGAAAAAAAAATTCATATAAGATTTTTTCTTTGGGCTTAGATCATTTGAGTATTTGTTCTTCTTTTTTTTTTTTTGTAAGATTTTTTTTGTTGAAGCTATTCAGAATATTATAACGATGTGTAACAGGCCGTTACGATACTACTACGCAACACCAAAATCGTTGTTATATGTGTTAATTTTCGTCACACTGCAAAAGCAGATGTAATCGTTATGTAATACTGAAACGATCGTTATATATGTGAATTTCCGTCACACCGCTATAGTACCCGTAACGGATGATGGTAACTATCACAACCGTTACATAATGGTGTTACGTAACGATTGCGACCACTTTTTAAAACCTTGACTTCACTGTACGATTCACAATTGTTGGTTTATATTAAATAATATTTAATTGTTTATTTGTGTTATGTTTTATTGTTAAAAACTTATTTATTTTAATTATTTATTGTTGATTTTTTTTTAACTGAATTATTTATTATTGATTGATTCACTTATTTTTAGTATAACGGAACCAACCCAAATTACATTAAATTGGGTTGATTGGATTTGATCCTTAATCTAAAAATTTAAAACTGATCATAATTAAACTTATTTAAAGATGCGAAATTAAACCAATATATTTGGTTTTAATTATTTACCAAGTATTGATGCTATCGGTGCTTAATTTAAAGCATAGATGACTAGTACACCACATTTAATGTTACTGTTTTTCTTCTTCTTTCATTGCCTTCTGGTCGGCTTTCTTCTTGGGTTGGCAAAGATTGCTGTCGATGGAAGGGTGTGAGCTGCAAAAAACACACTGGCAACGTTTTCAAGATTGACGTGAGAAACCAAGGAGGAGATTATTGCAGTTTGTTTGAATGACTTGTAGACAATTATAACTCCTCATCGTGTTTGGGAGGTGAGATAAGTCCTTCTTTGCTCGGCTTAAAATATTTAAGTTACTTAGATCTAAGCATGAATGATTTCCATGGAAGCACAATCCCAAATTTCATCGGTTCACTTGAGAAATTGAGTTATCTCAGACTTTCTCAATCAAATATCGGTGGAATGGTTCCACCTCATCTTGGAAATGTGTCAAACTTGCAATATCTTGACCTCTCTGCATTTGTTTTTTACTACAATATTTGGGCATCAGATTTAAACTGGCTTGTTTGCCTATCTTCTTTGAAGTATCTTAATCTTGGTGGTGTGAACCTGACTGAAGCAGCAGATTGGTTGCATTCAGTTAATAGCATGTCATCTTTGTCTGAGTTACAATTGTTTGATTGTTAATTGCCCAACTTTCCAAAACCTATACAGAATAAAATTTTACTTTCCTCTTGGTGCTTGATCTCTCTTCTAACGAGTCTAACTCTTCATTACCTCTATGGCATTTCAATTTTAGTACTCTATTTAATGTCAATTAAAAAAATTTTACAGGTTCCATTTATCTTCTAACTCTATTAGTACTAACATAAGTGGACTTTTAGAGGAATTGTCTGGGTGTTGTAACAGTTGCTTGAAGAAGTTGATATTGAGGTCCAACAAATTTAATAGGAAGTTTCCCGATTCGTTGGAACACTTGAATACCTTAAAGTTAGTGGGAAAAACGTGTTCGGGGGGTTGAAAATGAAAAACAACCCCCCAACTACTGTTGTGACGTAACGGGAAGCTTCCCGGTGCCAAATGTGACCTGTACAGACAGACGATACCTAATAGGACACGTAGGTTGGGAGTTAGAGTTCAAAATGTCATAAACTTAGTCGAAAAAAGGCTTCGGGGGGCAAAAATGCAAAACAGTCCCCCCAACCACTATTTTGACATAACGAAAAGCTTCTCTATGCCAAATGTGACCTGTAGAGACAGACGGTACGTAAATAGGATACGTAGGTTGGGAGTTAGAGTTCAAAATGTCATTAACTTTAGTCGAAAAGAGGCATTCGGGGGTCGAAAATGCAAAGCAGCCCCCTAACCACTATTTTGATGTAATGAGAACCTTCTCGGTGCCAAATGTGACCTATCGGGACAGACGGTACGAAAATAGGACATGTAGGTTGGGAGTTAGAGTTGAAAATGTCATAAACTTAGTCGAAAAAGGCCATCGGGGGGAGAAAATGCAAAACAGCCCCTCAACCATTGTTTTGATGTAACAGGAAGCTTTCTGGTGCCAAATGTGACTGTAGGGACAGACGGTACGTAAACAGCACACGTAGGTTGGATGTTAAAGTTCAAAATGTCATAAACTTAGCCGAAAAAAGGCGTTCAGGGGGCGAAAACGCAAAACAGTCCCTCTAACCATTGTTTTGACATAACGGAAAGCTTCCTGGTGCCAAATGTGACTTGTAGGGACAAACAGTACGTAACTAGGACACGTAAGTTGGGAGTTAGAGTTCAAAATGTCATAAACTTAGTCGAAAACAGGCGTTAATGTGACCAGAAGGGATAGATGGTACATAAAAAGAATACGTAGGTTAGGAGTTAGAGTTCAAAATGTGATAAACTTAGTCGAAAAAAGGCGTTCGGGGGGAAAAAATGCAAAGTAGCCCCCCAACCATTGTTTTGACATAACAAGAAGCTTCCCGGTGCCAAATGTGACTTGTAGGGACAGATGGTACATAAATAGGACACGTAGGTTGGGAGTTAGAGTTCAAAATGTCATAAACTTAGTTGAAAACAGGCGTTCGGGAGGCGAAAATACAAAACAGCCCCCCAACCACTGTTTTGACGTAATAGGAACCTTCCTGATGCCAAATGTGACTTGTAGGGATAGACAGTACATAAATAGGACACGTAGGTTGGGAGTTAGAGTTGAAAATGTCATAAACATAGTCGGACAAGCGCATTCGTGGGGCGAAAATGCGAAACAGGCCCCCAACCACTGTTTTGACTTAACGGGAAACTTCCCAGCGCCAAATGTGACCTGTAGGGATAGACGGTATGTAACTAGGACACGTAGGTTGGGAGTTAGAGTTGAAAATGAAAAGTTATGCATTTAAAGCAAGTAGCAGAAATATATTTGTCTCATGTTGGTAAACTTGTGCGATTATCATGTTCATTGGCTTAGACTTCGTACGTGACACTTGTTCCATCAGATTTTAGGAAATGGGTTATGAGAAATTCAATTTTACAGCAGCTGTAGAGCCATTCCTGAATGTGCTCTTTGCTCAAGTTTTAGATTAATTATACATTTTATCCTATACTGTGGTGATGTGGCTTGGAAATACTCTCTTGATCATGTAAGATGCTCTTGATCCTCAACTAGTCACCTAAAAAGGAATGAACACTCCGATCGGGGGTGCCGGAATTAGCACTCCGATGAATAAGTAAGTGTATACCCTCTTGGTTGCTTGTATCTTAAGTTAAGCTTAGTTGTTCTCACATACCTTTATTTGGATGATGCTCCTCTATTTATATTTTTCTTTTGGGCCTCAGGGTCGAGCCCACCTTCAATCCTTTGCACGTTTATTTATTCGGCTTTTGTTCAATTGGCTCTTCGGCCGATTAGTCTATTCGGTTTTGCAATCGAGCAGGATGGAGCCGAATACAAATTTCTTCCTTGACTGTCCTTGTACCGTCATTTGGCTTTATTGCACATATACCAACAATATCCAGCTCCCACAATTGCCCCCCAAACATCCTATTAATGCCAGTTAGTCGGCATGTTTGGTTTCAAACGGAGTGTTTGGTTTTGAACAGCGTGTTTGGTTTTGAACTTGAAAAGACAAGGCAAGAACGACGATTAACCCCATTCCAACGCATGTTAGAACACACGCTTTTTAGGCATCATTACATCTTCCCGCCTCTTCATACACTTTCTTTATTTAATGTGATTTGAAACTATGTTACCCCTTCGAATGTAAGTTTTTTGAATACTCAAAGCTTATGGTTTGCCTTTCGATATACCTCTATTTCGTGACCTCTGCAACTTCCTCCTGTCTCTCATTGTCTCTCCTGCTTCTTGTAAGTTCTCTTCTCCTTCATTTCGAATCCCATTTTCGTGTTTATTTTTAGTTTTGCATAATCCTTAGGCTGGCTAGGATGGCAAAACACTTGAAAGAACTCCTTTCTGCGGATCGAATTTTTGGTTTTTGACGCCATTATTCCATCCCCGATGATGTCCATCTGTCACTTGTAACAGACAGCACCATTGATATGGAGACGATTGATGAAAGTACAATCATCTTTCCTCTCCTATCAATTGCTAAGGGCGGAGTCCGTTTTCCCCTTCACCCATTTTTAAGGGCCATCCTTCGCCACTGGGGTCTAATCCCTTCCTAACCTAATGTAAATTTTTTCCGACTCATAATGGGAATTATAGAGTTGAACCGTCGCCTTAGGATTAACCTTGGTATACCTGCAATTCGGCATTGTTATGCCTTAGCCAAATCTTCTGGCCGGTTGGGACGCTATTTTCTCAGGGCCAAGGATACCGACCATCACTTAGTGACTATGCTTGCCAGAAAAGATACCGACCATCACTTAGTGACTATGCTTGCCAGTTCTGGCAAGCGTGTTGACAATGTAATGGTCGTTGTCCAAGGCAACTGGAAATTCGGCGAGGGTGAAGACCGCCTGGATCCCGTGCCAAGGCAAAGAGGCGAACCAGGTGGCCGTATAGTTCCTTATTTTTTTTATTATTATTATATATTTATTCGGCTTTTCTTCTATCCACTTACTGTTTTATTTGTGCAGACAACGATTTGAAGAAAGTTTTGGTTTCAGCCGATGATGCCGTACTTGCAGAAATTAAAATCGCACTCCAATTCTTTGGCCGTCCAAACCTTTAGAAACAAGGGAGGGCGGCCCACATTCTTTTGAGATACGAGCTGACTTATGCAACGTTTTTGGCGGCGGACAATATTCCAATTTCGAAGGGCGAACAGCAGCTTAAGGCCCTTATGTTCCCCAGCTTCAAAAACCTAAGGTTGATTGGTTTGGAAGCCTCCGATTCGGAGTAGGTGGTAGAACAAGTAGCCGAAGAAGCCGCCGAGGAGCCGAATCAATCAGAAGCTGAGGTAGACGTGGCTCTAAACTTGGCTTTTGAGGAAGCCGGCCTCAATTCATCCAACCCTCCGTCCACTTCAGGTCGAGGGGATGTCTCTTTTGAAGACATTTTTACAGGCTTAGGAGACCTTCCCGGCGCGTATCCAGAGAATATGGTTGGGGAGTCGCTCACTCAACTTACCAAAAGGAAAAACGCCGAAAGGATGGCCGCCCAGAGGAAAACCGAGGCCATCCGATTGGAAACTCTACCAGCTGCCGTCGCTGAGTCCTCTTTGCCTGTTATTGAGGAAGAAACGGCTCAGACCGAAATGGCCGAGACGGAGTAAGTGGAACAGGGGGATCAGGAGGCTGAGCTAAGGGGAGAAAAGCGCCCCGCCGAGCGAGAAGCTGTCTCTGGTGAGGACCAAATTGATAAACGGCCGCACATTGAGGAATCGGACTTGGTCGTTCCGTTCACTATTCAACCAAGGATAAGGAATATGCCGATTGCCTTTAATGCGTTGGCTTTAAAGGACCCGGCTGTGGCCTTGAGCATGGCCTCCTCAATTTCCTTACCGGTTGACAGAGCCACGTTTCGGTTGGAGCCAGATCTACTGACAATTGCACTTGCCGCTCAATCGGCCTTATTGGTACATTACTTGCCTTATCTGCAGTCTTCCGCTTAATCGGCCTTTTTTGTAACTCTATTTCCTTGTTTTGCAGACGGTGAGTAGGATAGCCAAAAACGACTGCCGTCAACATGACGCTATAGAATAGATTAGCTTGCTGAAAAACAAAATTGAAAATGAAAAAAGCAAGGCTGTGGAAGCCTCTCAAAGAGCCAATTTCGAGGTAGCAAAAACGGTGGAGAAACGTGCGAGAGCCGACTCCGAAGCAAAGAGCGCGAGAAATTCTAACCAACTAAGGCTGGTCGTTGAAGAGAGGGCAAAAGCCAATGAAGACGTGCTCAAGTTAGCCAAGGAGGTGATCGCCAAGCTGGAAGCTGATTTGGAAGAGTCGAGGAACGCAAAGGAAATAGCCGACTCTGAGATTTCCAAAGCGTTCTAAGCTGGAAAGGACGCCGCCTTGGAAAACTACGCGGAGGAAGTGCCCAAGTTCGAGAATCGGGGCTTCAAACACGGCTGGCTCAAAGCCCTCATAGCCGCGAATGTGACATTGGCGTAATCGATTCCTTACGAGTAGGTGGACGTCGAGCCGCTGGAGTCTAACCCTGAAGATTGATTAGGGTGACACTTTGATTTTTGTTAGGCATCTTAGATGCATAGTTTTTGTAAGTTTTTGTTAGTAGA